AAACATTTTTCTGCACCTTTGCAAAATAAAATTGTCAAGAACAGCTTTGTCATAAGTGTACAAACTTTATAATGGGGCTCATTGAAGCCGATGAATTCACGGTTATTTGTTGTGTGTGTCCTTTTCATAGGGTTTTGTGGAGAATTAAACGAAAAATCTTTTGAGGCTACGTTCAAGTTTTTACAATGAAAAATTTCCGAGATATTGACGAAATACTGGCTGTATCAATTATTTATGGCATACCCGTTAGTTGCAATCTTCCGATTATCGATCGGCCAGACGAGTGGCGAGACGTTTGACAAATTTAAAGTTATAAAAACATAAAAGCATAAATAATATGAATCCGAATTCGAGCAAGACTTAACTACAGAGTTATAAAAAGATAGAAATAAACATCCTCAGCCTCACACCCACAACTAATATATCCTTCGAACTATTTATCGTTTTTTGTTTTCTATAATCACCAATTAAAATCAATTAGAAAATGCTAATAATCGAGCCAAAAATCCGACTTTAATCAGTTAAAATTTACTTTTGTTATACAATAATCATTTATGCCCATAGGATTTTGAATTATAAACGGATTTCTATCACAGAAGTTTTCACTAGGTTACTTACTCTCGGGTAGATAGACACTTGTAACAACGTCAAGATCATCGTGTATATTAGCTTCATCAATCATTTGCGCATATTTAGACAAATTTAAATGATCGACCTATATAGCTCATGTTAAAATGGATAATAAATAGGGGAAGAAAGAGAGAACATACTTCAAGACTGTAGAATGCATCGGTTTGTTCCAATGGTGTTAAAAATTCTTTACAAAATAATTCTTGAAGTAGTTTACTTGCAAGACCTGTAATGAAATAAAACATGTAGGAAAATTCGAGACAAAGAATACTTACCAAGCCAATCATTTTGTTCAAGATCTAGTTCATTCCAAAATGTCTCCATCTTTAATTTGTCTAAATAAGGAAAGACTCGTGTTGGATACCATTTTTCGACGAGTTGTGTTCCTTCGATAAGTACAGCCTTCAAAAACAAATAGACATAAAATGGACGAGAATTTAAAAGAGAACATAATTAGATTGAAAAGAGAACGTTTTGAATGGTTTAGAGAAAGCAAATTAATTGGGATAGAAAAGAGAACGCATACTGATTGAGAATATTTAATTTTTACTATTTTCTCAATCACTAAACATGTCATTATACGGTTTCTGTGATGTAGTGGTACACTGTATCTCTCATGATATGCATATAGTGCTGATTCGATTCTAGTCAGAGACTACTTATTTATTTTTTTTCGCTATTATGGACTCATTGCTTTACCTATCCAATTCGAATAATTCTTGGAACGAGAAATTTTTGAAAAATTAATGTATTGTACTTATGGCCGTGTTATACTAACGAGGGAACCACCCGAAGTTATAAATCGATTTCGGATTGGGACTATTTTTGTTAGAAAGGCCCTAACGAGTAGTGAAATAACCTAACTTGATTCATCCCCACGATGCTTTGTTGCTGAGATACTGAATCTTTAGTCGGTTTTTGCCTACAGAGCCTGGATTTGGAGCAAAATCCGACTTTCGAATTTTGACTTGAAACTTGCCACACTTGTAGCCCATGGTCATAATAGTACGACGGAAAAATAATTGATGCTAATGAATTTTCCTGCCTTGAGATATTGAGACTCGAATATTTGACCCTCACCGTCTGGTGAAATGTTCGAGTCTCAATTTCTCAAGGCAGGAAAATTGATT